GCTCTGGTCTGGCCTCTCTCCAGCAGTTCCCTGTCCTTCCTGAACTGTGGGGCCCAGAACTGGACACAATATTCCAGATGTGGCCTCACCAGGGCAGAGTAGAGGGGGAGGAGAACCTCTCTCGACCTACTAACCACACCCCTTCTAATGCACCCCAGGATGCCATTTGCCTTCCTGGGCACAGTGCTGGCTCATGGTCATCCTGCTGTCCACCAGGACCCCCAGGGCCATTTCCACTACGCTGCTCTCCAAGAGGTCTGTCCTCAACTTACACGGGTACATGGGGTTGTTCTTTCCCAAATGCAACACTCCCTTCTGTGGTGGTTTGGGTGGATTCACCCTTTTTGATTAACTCTCTCCTAGCAAAACCAGGACACCTTCCCAACGGGCTCACACAGACCACGAGGCGGCCTCCGGCTCCATCCAGCACAGCCACCAGCTCCGTGCGGCGCAGGGCAGGAGGGACAGTCTTGCTGCGCTCACTACTCTGCAAGAGCTCCCAGTCTTCAGGGGCTTTCCCCTACCTCACAGAAGCTCAGAAAGATAAGATTTCAGAAAATTTTAGATATCTAAACTCCATATTTCTACTTGGCCAGGATTTTTCCAGCCATCTCAAGCCTAAGAAGGTGGATTTTTGAAGCTGGAAAAAAGGGTATTGGAAAAAAGGCTCTTGGAAAATAAAAGTTCTCCAATTAATATCCCCCAAATTCAGAGGATATGAATCCTCTGAATCAGGTTAACTGGGATGTTACCTGCTGTCTAAAGACAAACTGGAAAAGCTTTTTTTTTTTTTTTTGCAGATGCAGACCTGAAATCTCGCAGGGTTTGGAGGGAGCAGCAGCTTCACTGACAGTTGTGTCTGAACACATATATTTCTTGACGCTGCCGTTGCTGCTGGCAACCCTAGTGAAACGTAACGAAGACCAGAGGAAAAGCAGCAGGGAGCAATCCTCCCCGAGCCAACCCGCCACGATGCCACAGTTGGAGGCCAACCTCTGGAGGCTGCTCCTGCAGCGGTGCTGGCTGCCCCGTTCTCAGGCCATGGGCTTGGGCCAGCAACAGCATGAAACACGGCCAGCGCCCAGACTACACCAGGCGTGGGTACATCCTCACCTCGGGACAGGCCAGCACCTCTCAAAGCCAGTGGTGGGTCCAGAACAGGCAGGATGCCCTTGTGCCACCTCCCTCCTCCAGGAAGGGAGGAGGGCACAAAACAAGAGACAAAAGCAGGAGCCACCTGGCCCTGCTATGGTGCACACAGGTTTGGGGAGGAGGAGTGAGCAGCACGGACTGCTGTATTTGAGATGCAGAGATCTGGGGCAACCTGGAGGACGCTGTGTGAGAGAACTAACGAGTCAAAGAAGGGCTGCAAGAGAAGACCCTGCCACAGCGTTCACAGGGACATGATCCTGGCCACGTTCATCAGGGAAATTGCTCTCTGCATCCTGGTGGCAGAGCGCGCGTTTGACATTCAGACGGGTATCAAACGCCAGCCGACCTTGTGTCCTCCCAACGGCATTCCACGTCGATGCACCAGCAGAAGGAATATGGGGAAATGAGCAAGAGGATCGATAGGTTTGACAAGTTCCATTGAACCATGCCCATGTGCTCTGCAGAAGAGCGGCAGCAAGTCCCCTGGAGACTGGTCAGCATTGTCTCCACACGTTGGCGGGGGGACCACGGCGGCAGGACGGAGCACTGGGAACAAAGAGGTGCTGGAAGGCAAACAGAAAACACCTCGCAAACTGGTCTGCAGACCAGGCACACACAGCGCCGGAGGGCAGGAGAAGAGTGCACAGCCCCGCAGTTAGCAGCTCACTGTGGGTGAGGCTGAAGGAGGAACCTCTGCCTGCAGGGACGGCGGGACAGTCACCGCACTCTTCCCAAGGCCTGGGCACTTCAGTCCTGCCAGAGTTCCCTGGGACAGTGTGCTGGTGACCAGGACAGACCAACAGCCCCCGAGGGAGAAGGGAAGGACTGTATCCGACTACTCGGAGGGAGGTTACCAATGCTCACAGCGAGGAGAGGCTTCCAGTGCCCCATTCCTCCACCTATCTCACATGAGGAAGCCTCCACTTCACACCACCTCCATCAGCACTAGCAGTGCACACCCTACGAGGGCCAAACAAGAAATAGTTTTCCCCATATCACAAAAGCTGGAGGTTCCCCAAGATATATATAAAAAAAACCAACCCAACAAAAAACCCACCAACACCATTTGCTGGTGTTTTTTGCAAAGATATGAGAATCCACATTCGGACAGCTGTGAATCCAGGGCATTCACCTAGAACACAGCAGAACATCAAATCCCTTGTTTCCAATTCTCACCAAAACTCCAGGTGCATTTCATGCACTCCTGAAGAGAGCAGCGATCACCTATTGCAAAGTTTCAGTTGCTTTCCTCCCTTCCAGAAACCCCAAAGCTAACCCTCTGCTGTGGCGATGCCAGAGCTGGAACAGTCCTGGGATATCTGGGTTTGGACAGTTTTTTCCAATAAATAAATGAACACGCTGCCTAAGCCAGACACCAGCCTGCTCCTCTGCTGCAGGTCTGGCAGGTTCTCGCATCAAGCCAGAGCAGCTTCATCACCAACTTTGGGTGCCATGGGCACCCAAACCATCGGTGGCACTTTCCCGTGCTGTAAGTTCACGCAGTCTTCACACCACCCAACGTGTGAGTCAGTGGCATGAGCAGGATTTTCTGAAGGGGCTGAGCAGCAGAGATGACACCCATGTGTGGTGGATTAAAGACCCGAGTGACTCTCCTCAGCTGCCAGACAGCAAGATGGCCTCAGTGCCGCCCTTCGCGTCCTGCTGCTGCAAACACACCGAGGGTGTTGGATCAGGGATGCCAAAGCTATTATACACCTGTTTGCTTGAGGGACCTGGACAGGTTGGATCAATAGGCTGCAACCAGCTGTCTGAGGTTCAACAAGGACAAGTGCTGGGTCCTGCACCTGGGTCACAACAACCCCATGCAATGCTGCAGGCTTGGGGAGGAGTGGCTGGAGAGCTGCCCGGTGGAAAAGGACCTGGGGTTGTTGGTCAACAGCGGCCGAACATGAGTCAGCAGAGTGACCAGGTGGCCAAGAGCATCCTGGTCTGTATCAGAAACAGCATGGCCAGCAGGGCCAGGGAAATCATCTTTCCCGTGTACTGGGCACTAGTGAGGCCGCACCTTGAATACTGTGTCCAGTTTTGGGACCCTGACTCCAAGAAGGACATGGAGGTGCTGGAGCGTGTCCAGAGAAGGGCAACGGAGCTGGGGAAGGGTCTGGAGCACAAGTGTGCTGAGTTCCCGGCTGAGGGAACAGGGGGTGTTGAGCCTGGAGAAAAGGAGGCTGAGGGGAGACCTTGTGGCTCTGTCCAGGTCCCTGAAAGGAGGGTGGGGAGAGGTGGGGGTGGGTCTGTTCAACCAAGGACCAAGGGAAAGGACAAGAGGAAATGGCCTCAAGTTGTGCCAAGGGAGGTTCAGATTGGATGTGAGGAAAAATTTCTTCACTGAAAGGGTTCTCAGACACTAGAACAGGCTGCCTAGAGAAGTGGTGGAGTCCCCATCCCTGGAGGGATTTAAAAGACGGGTAGACGAGGTGCTCAGAGATCTGGTTTAGTAGTGGACAGGTACGGTTGGACTTGATGATCTCAAAGGTCTCTTTGCAACCAAAGCAATTCTATGATTCTACCACCCCAACTCCTTTTAAATGGAGAAGTGAGGTGAACGAACGATCCATGCTGATATCAAAAGGCAAAGAAACCAGAAAACACACTCTGGTTTCATGCCACACCTTTGTGAGCAGAGTGATCCTCACAACAAGCTGGCCCAAGCTGGCTGTGCTTTCTCAGGACAGACAAACCTCTGAGCAAGGAGTAGCACCCGCACGCAGCCCTGCTGCTCACCAGGACACAGGGCTGCTGTCGCTGGGCAGTGCCAGGGGACCCCAGCCCTACAGCAGGTGATGGAAACAGCTCGCACATCCAGCTGCTGCTCTTGGGAACAGCAGTGCTAATTTTTCGTCAATCTTTTCTGGCCAATCCAGCGACTATTGCACCCAAAGGGACTGCTGCTTACATCCACCCTGCAAGCAGAGTTCCTGCTGGTCACCCCACTAGCTGCACAATTGCAACAGCATCACGCTGGAAGGTATCTCAGGAGGGCTCCAGTCCAACTGCCACCTCCAAGCAGGGTCAGCCTAGAGTGCTCATGGCTTTATCCAGTCTGGAGGCAAACTACATGCCCCTGTCTAAGAGTCTTTAATGTGTCCCATCCTCACACTGCCCAAATAAGCTGCCAATCCTTTTTTGGAGTCAGACATTTCTGCAAAAGCCCTAGCACAGGCACACACACAGAGCCAGGCTACGTGAAGCAACCCAGCTCTTCACACACTGCCCCACTGATGGGCAACAGGACGGGTCTGTGCTGCCTGTCCTGCATCCCACCACTTGTAACTGCTCACATGAGCCCACTGAAGCCAAACACCAGTGCTGTCTGCTGAACTGCCGTGAAGGCTTTCATTCCTCTTGAAACCACAAGAAATTCAGGGTAGGTTCAAACACAACTAACGGAATTCCTGTCATCATCTCAGAGAGGGGAGCCTGCTCTCAGAGAGCACAACGAGCGTTTTGCAGAATCACTTTTAGGCAGTAACACAAACTGTGGGTGGTTTGTGGAGGGGAGGAAGCAGCAGGTCTCAGCACCTCCCGGCTTCTTGATAAGAGCTCCCCGATGTGAGACACTGGGTAGAATCACAGAATGTCAGGGATTGGAAGGGACCTTGAAAGATCATCCAGTCCAATCCCCCTGCCAGAGCAGGAACCTAAATGAGATCACATAGAAAGGCGTCCAGGCGGGTTTTGAATGTCTCTGTAGGAGACTCCACCCCCTCCCTGGGCAGCCTGTCCCAGGGCTCTGGCACCCTCACTGTAAAGAAGTTTCTTCTCAAGTTTAAGCAGAACCTCCTGTGTTCCAGCTCACACCCACTGCCCCTTGTCCTACCATTGGGCATCACTGAGAAGAGCCTGGCGGGGGACCCTGAATAGAACCACCCTAGAAACAGACAGGAAGGAAAAACAAAACAGTGAAACATTCCTGATTTCTCGTCCACCCTAAAAGCCGCCACACAGCCTGCCCCGAAATACCTTTAGCAAAGTCTGTTTAAAGAACAGGTCACATAGGAGAGAACCATAGAATCACAGAATGTTGTGAGCTGG